TGATAGGCTCTCTCTCAATTTATATTGCACAAAAGAAGAACTACAGGTTTTAGATCTTCTCAAGCGATACAAGTCATTAGAATTGCCACATAGGGTGCAATGAAAGAAGAACGTTTGGGATCTGTTTGCCCACTGCTGCCACTACCAAGTCAAGAAACTTGACAGCAATAGGACTACCACAAGAGGGTCTTCAACATAGTAAGCAGTTTTCTTTCACTAAACATTGATGCTAGATAGTAAGCTTTCATAGATGTTGATATCAACATCTTATCAGAACAAAATGACAAGGCAAAAACAATGTATTCTTTATGTCCTAGAAAGGAAGAAAATACGGGCGATACTACATGTATCGCTAGCCACAAAAAAAAAAAAAATAGAAGGATAGTGTCATTAGCAAAGTGGATCTCCTCTAACCCAAAAACCCTCTGCTAAACCACTGATTCTGCCTTTGAAATGAATTAAAATAAAAATTCCAGAATTTAACATGGAGTATGCTTTGGACATCGTTTNCCCCTGCTAAACCACTGATTCTGCCTTTGAAATGAATTAAAATAAAAATTCCAGAATTTAACATGGAGTATGCTTTGGACATCGTGTCTTGTTTAGGCTCAAAATAAGTTTTCTTACCACTGGTACGGTTTTAACTATCTTATCTTAGATTTTATTAGTCGAGGTATGTCGTTCTTTTATATAAACATTTAATGTAGTTGACATCACACAACTATGGGTCATAACAGTTGGAACTCTATATGATTTTCTGGATGTGTCAACAATAATCTTAGAATCAAAATTATCAAAATACCCTAATTTCCAGAAATAATCCTTGTGCAACTAAAAATTAAAATCCTTGTAATCTAATGCTTTAATGCTAGAGAGCTGAGTTAGGATTTGATAATTTGTTTAATACTTTGAAGTTTGTGTCGTGGATGCGACCATATTCCTACAGAATTCTAGAATAGATTTCTAAATTCTTCTTTTTTTTTGCTAGTAGATTTCTAAATTCTTCTTTTTCCTCCTCCTCCTCCTCCTCTTCTTCTTCTTCTTTTTCATCTTCTTCTTCTTCATCTTNTAGTAGATTTCTAAATTCTTCTTTTTCCTCCTCCTCCTCCTCCTCTTCTTCTTCTTTTTCTTCTTCTTCTTCTTCTTCATCTTCTTCTTCTTCTTTTTCTTTCCTACATTTTTGTATCTACTATCACACCTTGTAAATTACTCCTCTCAACACAAAAAATCCTTCATTGTGAAGCCTAACCCTTACTTCTATAAGATCCAACCTTATCCAAAGCCCTCGCAAAAATTCATGGGTAACTGGATAACAACCCTCACCTGTCGCTTGCCATATCTTTACCAAAGCAGTCCCATTTAATAGTAACCTTTCCATCACCTTCTGGCCTTCAATTTAACACAAACCATAACAAACTGTTGTCTTGAACTTCCAACAACCTTAACTCCAAATCCGACAACCAAACATACTCAAGATTAAGCCAGTTCCAATCTATACCCATCAATATTTCTTCCCCAACAAAACCATTAATTTCAAAATGTTTCACATCCAAAACCCATCATGAGATCATTTGTTGGCTATAGCAAATAGTAAAACTAATTGAAAAATATATAAACAAATAGAGAGATATCATTTGTTGACTGTGCAGCCCTACTTTTTCTAATGCAGCCCGGTCTCCAAGCCAGCTTTAACCAACCTCATGAGTTTTCACACGAGCCTTGTACATCACTTTGTAATTCAACCAATAACATATAAAAAAAGAAATCATGCCAAACAATTAAGCAGTCTAAGGTCTAATGTCAAACAAACTTGTGTACTGCAGACTCACCTTCTCTTTGACAGATTCTTCCTTCTCTGACAAATCTTGCAGCTTTTTGGAAATGCTCGGAGTTGCTTCAACTTGATTCACTATGTGTTGTTTCCACTCAAGCTGAGAAGTGAATACAACTAATAACAACAAGAAAACTAGTAGGATTGGCCTCGACATTATTAAATGCAGCTCTCACATAACCTGTTATACCAATAAATAATCTGAGTTTACGAATCTTGATGCCAAGCCAATGATCAAATCATAATCCAGACCTTCTGGGTGTAATTTTAGGAAAGTGTTCTTGATAACAAATAGGGAAATTGAGAATCATAGAAAAACCATATTATTGTAAATTAATTCTATAAAAAATAAGAAATTTTGAAAACTATCCATTTCCAGAAACTCAGAGAAAAGTTGAGAATCAAAGAAAAACCATATTATTGTAAACTAATTCTCTAAAAAATAAGAAATTTTGAAAACTACCCATTTCCAGAAACTGAGAGAAAAGTTTTTTCCTCCACTCAAAGTACTTTCTTCCAGTTTCCATTCAAAATAACCCAGAAGAACAATCAATTCTTATTTTACACTTTTTGTCATATTCACTGTGGAAAACATTCAGGAACATTGTGGGTAACTGTAATTCAATGATTTGTGAGATTGATTACTTCAAAGTATGATTAACTGAGGAGAAATGAGTGTAGACGGAAGAAGAGGGTACCGATTGAAGCAGCAACTTGAATGGTTGGTTCAGATGAAGTGTGAGGATAGAACCCAGGAATCAGAGCTTGCTGGTACCGACATCGTTTTACGGGCACCAACCACCGTGCGTTCCAACTGTCTTTATGAAAATAACGGAGGAGCCTCGAATAATCGTATATCGAGACATGAAGAATTTCTCGTATCCTGACTAGATTATCGAGATTCGTACCCAAGNGAGCTTGCTGGTACCGACATCGTTTTACGGGCACCAACCACCGTGCGTTCCAACTGTCTTTATGAAAATAACGGAGGAGCCTCGAATAATCGTATATCGAGACATGAAGAATTTCTCGTATCCTGACTAGATTATCGAGATTCGTACTCGAGTATTTTATAACACATGAATGCATGATCAAAATAAATGAGTGAATTACGCTTTGTGTCTTCAAATATTCAAAATTTTCTATTTTATAACTTTAATGATTAAATTTTTTATATTATTTCCTTAATATATTAAAAGTGCTTTTAAGGTAATCATTCTGTTAATTTTTATTATTTTTTCTATCAATTTTAATAGGATTAGCTTTGATTAAATAAATAACAAAAGGCAACAGAACGACTACATTGAAATATTTTTATTATATTGAGGTTATATTGTTAAAAATTTTATCTTTAAGAGTACAAAATAAAAAAAATTATATATTTCAAANTATTATTTCCTTAATATATTAAAAGTGCTTTTAAGGTAATCATTCTGTTAATTTTTGTTATTTTTTCTATCAATTTTAATAGGATTAGCTTTGATGAAATAAATAACAAAAGGCAACAGAATGACTACATTGAAATATTTTTATTATATTGAGGGTACATTGTTAAAAATTTTATCTTTAAGGGTACAAAATAAAAAAAATTATATCTTTCAAAGTACAAGATGAGAATTTCTCAAAATAAATTATATATATATATATATATATATATGACCAGAAATTATTTAAAACAATATCCTTATAATTCTGAAATGAAGTTTTTCATATTTTATTCTAATCTACATAATAAAGTAACTTACAATTCAAATATCAAAAGATAAATAAAATAATTTTTGTTATTTACGGTTAAGATCGCTTTAAATTTTATTTTAAAGTTAATCTAATGGTTAATATTAATACTCTAAATTGAATAGAAAAAATAGGCAATTAAAAGTGTGTTTGGAGTGATTTTTTAAAAGTATTTTTATAAATTATTTATCATAAATACTTTAAAAAAAATAATGTTTGAAACCGCCCCCACCACCCTCACCCCCACTGTTCCACCACCACCACTACTATCACTGCCGCCACCCTACCATATTCACTACCGTTGCTGACAACACCTTACCACTATCATCACCAATTCCATTGCCCCACCACCACCATAATCACTAACACCATCACCATTCATCACATTGTTGTCTAAAAGCACTCATCGTCGCCCACCACCACCATCATCATAGCCCATCACCATCGTCATCGTCCCGCCACCATCATTATTAACCACCATCACCTTCGTCTGCCACCACCACCATTGCTACTCATGGCTATCACTACCATTGTCGTCACTCAAAACCCACTACAACAATCACCATTGTCACCCACGGCTGCTATCATTGCCACGGTCATCGCCTTATCCACTACAACTATCACTGTCTCCCATCATCACCATTGTTGCCCACCGCCACTACTATCATTCACCCCCACTATANCTATTATTGTCACGGTCATCGCCTTATCCACCACAACTATCACTGTCTCCCATCATCACCACTGTTGCCCACCGTCACTACAATCGGTGCATAAATTTCTTTATCTCTCTTATATGTTTGTGATTTGATTTTAGATGTGAATACAAATATGTCGATCATTTTTATTTTATTTTATACCTTCAGGCACGAAGAATAACTAATTCTCTTATAAAATATTATCTTAAGTAACATTAGGATTTAAGTTAATCTTTATAAGTAAGTGCATAGATGTACTAATTAACAATAAATTGTGTCATGTTGAATTTTTATTGTGTCTAAAATATTTCAACTATATTGAATTTTGTTATATTCAAAATCTTGCATAATCGAGTTGACCTAGACTAATCGTGTGTAATTAAAATAAGTTAATTCATTACTCATATATGGCTTGAATTATGTTAAAATTAAATTAAATTATAATAATTTTGCTTGGATATATATCGACATAAGTAATTATCACTATATTATTATTTTAAATTTATTTATCTAAATATTAATTTTTAAATTTATTTGTAACACTTTTTTTTTGTTTCTTTAAAAAACATTTTTCAATGCAGAAATTTAATTTAAAAAACACACGTGTAATTTTTTCTTTTTTACTAAAAGTTGTTTTTAAAACAATCATTTGTATTAAAAAGCATATTGTTCTATGATAATAATTAAAGATATTTTTGTAATAGTGCATTAAATTGGTATTAGATTTAGAACGGCGGAGAACGGTGGTGGAGAGAAACTAAAGCAACAATGGGCAACACTCAGTCACCTTCCACAAATCCCCGTATAGCTTCCGCCACCAGGTTCTCTCTCTCTCTCTCTCTCTGCATAAGACTGTATACATATGTATACTTGTGCCCCGAATTAATCTTTGATATTTATTCGCAGAGCTTTCACACAAAACGAACTGGAAGATCTCAAATCTTTGTTCGTGTCACTCGCTGCCCAATCGCAAAGCAACGATCAATACATCTCTCCCTCTGTTTTCAAGGTTACTTTCTCTCTCTCTCTCTCTCTCACCGATTTCAATTTTGATTCGGGAATACTGATCTCTCATGTGTGTGAGTGTGCAGGCATATATTGGACTCGACGGCCCTCTTGGCGATAGAATGTTCGATTTAGTCACGGAGAAACGTAATGATCAAAAACTTAGTTGGGAGGACCTCGTAATTTCTAAAGTAAGTTGTTGGAGTCGTGTTGATTGAGTAAAGTAACTGAATGTTGCATTTATGTGACTATTCAGGATCATAAAATTTGTTCAATTCAAGTTCTTTCAATCCATGGAGCACAATTAACTTTTTTAGATTACTTCTTATTAGTGCATAGATTGATCCTCAGTTGTTTATGATTGAATGAAAATGGTAGAAGATGCAATTTAACATGATGATACGACTATTTATCAGTAACTCTAATAAATGCATGTTTACTTACAAGTTTTTCTTTGGCTTAATGCTTGTATGCATAGGAATCAACACATAACTATGTAGTTTATTTGAGTACACTCGGCGTAATGACTGAAAATATGCACTTATTCTTTATGCTTCCACTTTTGTATTCCAGGCTACTTACGAGAAAGGAACAAATGATGAGATTGAAGAGTTTATTTATCAATTATTAGATGTCAATTGTGACAGTGTGTTGGGGAGGTAAAACAACAAATGTCTACCATCTTTTGTGAGTCAATGAGGTTCCATTTTTAGCCTGATAATTTAATTGAATTAATATTATCAAAAGAAAATTATTTTTTATGCTGATAGCTTTTTAAATATAAATGGGTAACTAGTCCCATTTTCTTCTGAATGTTGGTAATTAATCTTTTTTTTTTTT